CGGGGGACGCTGCTGCGGGCCTCGGAAACGGTGCTCGGGCTGGGGGGTGGGGGGGAGGTCGGCGTGGATTTTAGGAAAAGCATCTCATGGTAGGAGTGCTGCGAGTTGCAGCAGGAGGTGGTTTATTCTCCTGAGTTTGGGGAAAGGAGACCAAGAAAGGTTTAAGTAGACGTTTTCAGTTTTAAAGTTATTATTATAGTAGTTCTAGGATGTTTCGGTTCTTACTATCAACTTTTCGATTATCACTAAAATGTTGTTGAAAAGTGTGTGAGAGTTAAGCGTTTGCCAGGGTTTAACCCAGTTCTAAGGGGTGCTTTGAAGGCAGGGCAGCACCACTGCCGTCCTGCTGATAGCGAGTGTCGGTGGTGGGAGGGTGGTTTTCAGTTGGTTGCCAGAAAGGTGGAGAAACAAGTGAACAAAGTAACAGAGCTTGGAAACAACGTGTTTCATAGGAGGAGAAAGAAAACCGGAGTGTGCGGCTAGGAGTGGGGAAGAGAGAGAAAAAAGAGGGGCAAGATTGTGCTAGCGTTTCATGCGTTCCGGGAGTTCTGCAATCATGTTGGGGAAAAATAAATTCATTGAGAAAGAGCTGGGGGACACTGAAGAGCTTTAGGGACAAAAGGAAGTTAAATTTAATTTTCTTCTTCACTGTTCCTGGAGGAATATGGAGAGAGCAAAAATTTTTCTGAAGATGACTGGGAGATCAGTAAAATAAACTGATTGCTGCAGAAGAAGAAATAAAGAGCTCGGAAATGCTGAAAGTTGGCAGAAGCATAAGTTGGAGTGAAGTACAGGCCATCCCTCCTGCCCACAGAAAGAGGGAAACCTGTGGGGATGGCTTTAATGTAATCATGAGATTTGCAGAGCTTTTGAGAGAGATTTTTAAAGTGTATTCTGCTCAGTTACTGGGGAAGCTAGATGAAATCCTTTAGAGATGAGCACTATATATGACTTCAGATTTGCATTTCAGTAGTCTTCAGAGGTCTCAGGGGTGGTGGTGAATCTGTTAGACCAGGAACTGTTTAGCTGCAAAAATCAATCTTAGTTTCTTTAGTCATGGGCTAGGGGATTCCAAAAATAAGGGATCTATCCATGGGCCGATGTTTGTGTTCAACATGATACCACATTGTTAATTCTCAATCATTAATGAGTTCTTGCTGTCTGGTTTGTTTGTTAACATCAAAGCAATCTAACGGTCTGAAAAGAAAGCTCCAGTCACCACATGGAAACCCGCCACTGAAACGTAAACGTAAGCCATCAGTAAACACCTTCAGGAAATGTGCCACGGAAGCTGACATCAGGGAGAAGGGAACTTCGTCACAAATATCTCTTCCTAAGAAGCAGTTGACCAACAACAGAAATGAAAGCCAGAAAAGCAAACCTTTCATTAAGACGTCCAGCCTGTTTAAAAACAACCCTGATATCCCAGAAATTCACAGGTATTTTAGACAAATGGGAGGAAAAAAACCCCTTTCAGTGGCTTGAAATTCGGTGTCTCGAATTCTTGCCCTTGGGCAGAGCAGTTGCTTGGTACATGTAGTGTCATTGCTGTTTATGTAAAATACTATTGTACAATTTTTAACCACACCGTGTTCTTCTTTTTGTTTGGTTGGTTTCCCCTAACTCAGAAAAGCAGTACAGCAAGTGCAAGAAAATGTTTTCACTACAGAGGCTTTTAGCCAATTGGACCTCCATCTCCATCTGGTGAGTGGCAGGAAGGCTGTGTGCCCTGAAACGTGCTTTTGGGTGGGGGGCAGGTTAGAGAGCTGAGAGATGCACCTTGATTCGTGGTGACTTGGACAGACCTGCCAGTACTTTGCCTGATTTTGTTGCAGTCTCTTAGCTCAGCATGCTGGCCCGTGTCCTGACCCATCCCCAAACACACTATCCCAGCACCCTGCACTGTTTTAGTACCACTGCAGTTTTAATACCAAAAAACCACAGAAAACTACTCAGGAGTGTGGTATTTTAGCAAGTCTGATATTTTATGATGCACCAGCAATGGTGCAAGTCTGATTAACTAAGAACTATTTTGAGACCTGGGAGCTTTTACATGCAGTTGCCCTGGACCAGTAATGTAGCGAATAAGCATCAGTCTTGTGGTTTTTGCTCTATCTTGTACTACAAAAAGAACAGCTGGACAGTGAAACCTGTTTACTGCTGTTTATTATCTCTCTAGATATCCACGATAAACACTGTCCTAAAGATAAGTAGCATGACCAGGTAAGCAAATTCATGTAAAAACTTTGCCCTTCACTACCCCTTAAAGCCGGTCATCTCCTTCCCTACCCCTTAAAGCCAATCATCTATGATTTATTTCATTATATGTAATTGGTTTCTGAAGTCCACAGTACCTGTTAAGCTGTCCCATTTGCCATAGGGTTTGTTGCTTTCAAAATTTGGGATGAGAAATAACTTGCAAGTTACACAACAAGTCAGTGGTCACAGCTGAAAGTGGAACTTTGGAGTCCTGCCTTCTGATTTGGTACTTGAATCCTAAAATTATCACTTTTCAGTTGGTCACATCTGATGTCTTACCTAGTGACTTTCCATAGAAATCGCCTCTACAGATGTAGCTACACAGCAGAGATGAAATTTGGGGTAAACAGTTTTGAAACAGTCACTCTACATTAAAACCTTAGGATTCTGTCCTGCGTTGCATTCGTATTTCCTAACCTGTTTTGTTTGTTACGCAGTGTTCAGAAGCAAACAATTCCTGTGCTCTTGGAAGGCAAAGATGCTCTAGTGCGATCTCAGACTGGTTCAGGTCAGTATTTAATTGTCAGTCCCTTCCCTAGGGCATATTAAATTGGATCCCAAATACAGAACGAAAACCTGACGTTCCCAGTACAGCTCATAGAAGTGACAGCCTGGGAAGCCTGTCATGGGCCTGCTGCAACACGGACAGATGCTGTGCGAACTTCTGTAGCAGCGCAGTGGTGGGACTGAATGTTGACGTGCAGCTGCCAGGCGTTGCCCGTGAGCCTATTCCAAGGCTCGTGTGGGGATGCAGGTCCAGGAGGCCAGCAGAGCGAGGCAGCACCCGCTCTTACCGCACAGACTTCTGTGCTTGCTCTACAGCAAACTATGCCTGGATGTCTCGTTTCCTTGGGTGGGTGGGGATGTGTATTTAGATAGATCTTAGTGGCATGCCACCACCTCTTGTGTTTTAATTTAACCCTTTGGTGCATTGTCTGTCAGTCTTCCATTCTGGAAACTTTCTAGTTAATAAAACTTTTCCAGTCTCTGGCCTCAGTTTAAGAATGGTAGGGTGAGCGGTACTTTAATTTGCTGAAATGCTGTAGTTGGCACAGTTTTTTTGATGGAAAGTCTTCCAATTGTCTTCCTTTTAAAAAGGTAAAACTCTTGCCTATGGGATTCCA